ATGTTTGTAAAACAATTATTTTGTTTCGTGCATTATTTTATAGACATGACGTCATGAAAAAACTAAACAGGTATTGGGAACCTGTATTCTTTATTTTTACAAATTACGTATTTTAACTATTGCGTATATTATTATAACCACATCTTGTTTATGTTCTAGCTATGTGATACGACGAAGAATACTTTTGGGCAACAACATGTACCTACTTACATACTACATACATTATTGCGCTTTTTTGTTATTATGTACTAAATAGGTAATTGTGTTAGCAATGCGTTTTTATCTCGAAAGACATACCTATCGATTGAAAATCGATTCAAATTTTCATCTAAACCTGTTACCTGCCCGATACTTTTCCTTGAATATAATGTTCCAAATAATAATTTGATAACTGTATTTAGTTACTTTAACCGGTCCGCGAATTAGTAAAGCTATTGGATTTGCACACGTAATTATTATTACGGTCGTTGAAGCGAAGGTGACATGTCGCGATCGACACACAAGTTGATCGATTTGTTTTGGTAAATTTTATTAATAACATGCATAATATTTAACTGCGAAATTATGCTAACATTGTAATAATATTAAAGGCTATAATCGTAGCGATTAGTTTAAAGGCGCTGCTTTTAATTGCTTTATTTCATTCGTAGTAAGTAAAGTAATCGTATTATTTATTTATTTATTTGGTACTACCTACCGAATCAAATAATGTACCTACTTCCCAACTAATATTATAAATGCGAAAGTAACTCTGTCTGTCTGTGGTCTGTCTGTCTGTCTGTTTGTCTGTCTGTCTGTCTGTCTGTTACGCTTTCCCGCTTAAACCTCGCAACCGATTTTGATGAAATTTGGCATAGAGATAGTTTGAGTCCCGGGAAAGAACATAGGATAGTTTTTATCCCGGTTTTTGAAACAGGGACGCGCGCGATAAAGTTTTTTTGTGACAGACAAAATTCCACACGGGCGAAGCCGCGGGCGGAAAGCTAGTAATCCATAATTTTTAAGTGACCCCTATGGTAACACATAACAGGAATTTTGTTTTCATGGGGATAATTTAGATAGAAGACTATAATAACATCTCAGCAAACATTACGCCCGTTTTCACAAATATTACTATGAGGTCTCACAGTGCGCGTGGACGCACAGGGTTACACACGAACCAATTACAGAGCTCTATTCAACGCTGTGCATTCAATTTGCTGCTTCACTTAAGCAAGCATCGTTTGTGAATGTGTCGATGTAACAATATAATCGTCCTTCTGGCGCAATCGGGTAAAGCTCAGATGAGGGGAAACTTAAAGTCCAGCTGTGATGATGTTTAAACATTTTTTTTTCTTTCTCTACTTTAAGATATAACTTTTGATACGATAAGAGTTTGCGTTACTTTTATTAATACATAAAAAAATTTAGTGCGCAAACGGCGTGTATTAAGGTAAGCGGACGACATGAGGCAGCAGCAGATGACAGACGACGTGTCGCAGCGACATTACTGGTTTCTATGTATTTCTATGAAAAATACCATTCGCAGTAAGCGACACGTCGCGACACCTGGAAATATTTCGTAAAAATACATAAAACTCATAAAAAGTCATAAAACTCATTTATTTCTGTAAATAGGCTTAAAAAGCACTTTTACCATAGAAACTGACGTCTGCTGCTGCTGCGTGCAGTCAGTCGGCTACGAACTTGCACCTTTATGTTTGTAAAAGTCTATCAAGTACAAGTTTGATTGAGTCACAGGAAATTATAAAGATACTTTGTAAAAGAATACACGCGTTAATAGACCTCGTTAAAGACGATCTCTCCCACCAGCATTTTGATCTTATGTGAAGGCTTTCAAAGTGTTTAAAACTATGATATAATCTCTAATCAGATCGAACGTGTCACAACGTTGTATCGATTTAAATCGAAGCGATTATGTGTGATTACCGTCACGAACCAAGTGTTACGAGGCCTCAGCCTTTACTGAGTATTACGTGACAGGTGCTGGTGAAAGATACTCATAGAAATAGACGTTGGAAAGCTTCGAATGGATATCGGCACATGTGAGAAATCATTTTACCTTCTTTCTATATTTGCCAGGAAAAAGCAAAGGAAGAACTTTGAAGTTTTTCAAAAGTTTTATGAAATTATACTATTTTACGTATCTGAGTCTGCTAGTACAATTTGCACAGGATTAAAAATTTCAGTGGTTTTCACATTTTAACAATTAGCAAGCGGCAGTGGGCGGGACACATAGCTCGTAGAACTGATGGCTGCTGGGGCAGGAAAGTTCTTGAGTGGCGACCACGAGCCGGAAGACGTAGCATGGGCAGGCCTCCATCTAGGTGGATCGACGATCTGGTGAGGGTCGCGGGAGGTGCCTGGATGCGAGCGGCGCAGGATAGGTCTTTGTGGAAATCCTTGGGTAGGCCTTTGTCCAGCAGTGGACGTCTTTCAGCTGAAACGAACGAACGATTAGTGATTTTTATAGTCCTGCTTAACCAATCACCTTAAAGCTTTTATTTATTTTTAAGTTGCATTATAATACCAGTTAAAAAAATATGTAATACTTAGTAAACAGCTACAAAATTATTTTTTCCTAAACCAGAATCCCAGCTTTGTATTTGAATCAGGTACTTCTATTATCAGCCAGTGGGCGGGGCACATAGCTCGAAGAGCTGATGGCCGCTGGGGCAGGAAAGTTCTTGAGTGGCGACCACGAGCTGGAAGACGTAGCGTGGGCAGGCCTCCCACTAGTTGGACCGACGATCTGGTGAAGGTCGCGGGAAGTACCTGGATGCAAGCGGCGCAGGACCGGTCTTTGTGGAAATCCTTGGGGGAGGCCTTTGTCCAGCAGTGGACGTCTTTCGGCTGAAACGAACGAACGAACGAACTTCTATTATATTCGCTTATCGCTACATTTGTGCTTTAGTCGTTCACCCTCCCAACCCAATAAGCTTTATTTGTATCGAGTGAAATTGCATGTGACATTACAGTGCTTGCTCTTAATGACAATTGCCGGGCTGACCCTAAAATAAAACATGTGCTCTTGGGTCGTTATACGCGCACTTGAATTGGCCATTACGTTTCATTGCAAGCGTAATTAGACCCACACACCCTTGATATGACTGGCAGGATTGACACGCGACTGTGGCGCGACGTGAGAGTGACGATACTTTTCTATAGCATCTTATAGTTATCGCTTCATGCACTTCCGGCTTCAGTGTTTGAAGTTATGAACAGGCAGTTTTACAAGAGGTTAAATTACTTGTTTTATACATTCTACCAAAAACTAACTATGGGCGAACGGCTTTATTGGGTAATGATGTGAGTGACTTTATGTATTTAATATATTCAAATCCTTTGAAAAATAAAATAAGTATTGTGATTTATTGCATATTTTCAATAAAGAAACCCATTTTTTGCGTTTATTTAACATACACGTTTTTTCTTGAATCTACTATGAACTCATTGTAGAATAACAACTTTTTCTCTGAAACTTAATGTAAAATAGTTAGTTAGTTTTCTAAACGTAATCTGATTTTACTACAAATTGACGAAAATGGAAATTAAAAACCTCAAGAAAGTTAAAAATAACCATGCACATACTTTATCATTCAGTGAGTAACTGAGTAGGTTTTTCTAAATAATTTCAAAGTAAATATTAACAGATGTCTTAAAATACTTTAACATGATGATTCAATTAAGATGATCACATTGTTTCGAGTAAACAAACAAATAAAGAGTTGTTGAACATTTGCGTTTCGAAATTGTACGATGATTTTATCTTTTGTTCGAAGATAAAAATAAATGGGAAACCCTGAAACAGACATTTTTTCAGACATTGAGTTAGCTGATGACTGCAAAGTATCACAACACACTAATAAATAAAGCCGAGGGTTTGTGAGTATGTATGTTTGTCACTTATTCACGTCTAAACGGCTGGAGCGATTTTAGTATTTGTTATGGAGTTAGCTGATACCCTGGATTAACACATAGGCTACAATTTACTGCGAGTAACACCGCGGGGCACAGCTAGTTACACATAAATGTGATTCGATATTGGATATTAATGTCTTGGTGTAGATGGCGGGCAGCGCATAAGCAGCAGTGGACTTCATTGGGATGGAACGATCGATTTTGTTTTGATAAGTAGTGAGTGAATTAAGAGTAAGAGTGCATTTAGGTAACACATACTTATGAGTAAATAAAACTTCATAAAGAATGAACACGGACGAATTTAATTAAAGCCTATAATGTATGTAAGTGCCTGGCAGAATCTGCCAGACTTGCACAGGTTCACATAAACAAAATTTGCCTTAAAAAACTTCAAAGGCAACACACGTTCCAATGATATTGCATTAACTTACCATTTTTACGTAGATGGTTTGGACTGCACTAGTTAGTTACTGTTCTGTTTTTATGCAAACATGTTTTTATCAGGCGTAAATTTAAAGCTGGTCTAGTAGATCTTTATTTATTTTAGTCGGCGTGATATATCCGCAGTCTCCTTTTTGAAGAGCATGTCATCATCTACAGCCATACAAAGTCCACTGCTGGGTAATAAGTCTGCATAGAATGCAGCTCGGCCTCTTGCACAAGCGTCTTTCCACAACCTTACTATTTTTCATTGGTCATCTTTAGTGGGTCAGGTACGAACATTATTAGACCTAAGTAGGTACTTATTGTTCTCTTAAAAATAAGTTTTATTCTAAGATTGAATTTTTTTCTAAAAGTATGTTACAGTCTTTAATTTTTAACCTTGTTTTTAAATGTGTCTGTGTCTTTTAGTGGTTAGGTCTAAAAGTAGTTACAATTATTTTAAGCGGCTACAACGAGCTCCTTAATTTATTGATTCTTTGTTTTCCTTGGGTCCATGTTATATGTTATGTATCATGCGCTTGATTTTCTTATGTTTTCAGCTTGGAAAATTAAATATTTTTGCCATGGAAATATTTTATTTGTTGATTTGATTAATAAATAATTCTTAAGTATAGGTTAAATAAATAACAACAACATTTTACTTAACAAATAATAAAATATAATTGAATACCTATAACTTTATACAAAATATACACAGGTAGCCACCAGTGGCTGACTTCAATACGCCTTCGTATTGTTCGATTGTTATTTTTAAATACCATACACTCTTTACCAAACCATAATAATCAGTCTTGCGTCCTTTTAAAGACGGATTATATGAGGTAAAAAAATAAATACTGCTTTGTTTTCAATGTACCGTAGTAACATTTTTATAACGTAGATCTCATTGTTCACAACATATGATTTTTCTACTTTATCCCATTAATTTATACAAGAAAAATGCATTTTTATTAATAATATGGCTGTATAACTATTACCAAATAACAGTAACGGTAGTGTTGTATTTAGGAATGTATCACAAAAGCAGTTCACGACTAGGTAACGTGTAACGTTATCAACACTATTGGAAGACTTAAAATAACGTTATTATAACAGCACGTTCACACTATTCCGGTTTTACCGAATCGAATTCACTTTATGACAAAAAAACGTATTCACAATACATTTTTAAGTTATCCGATTCGGTAGTACCGTCGTTTTCGTATACTAAAAAGTGTGGGTAGCATACGAAAATGTTGAGGCAAACGTGTGAACCCGCTGTAGCACTATCACGCTCTAACAGCTATCGATGTCCTTCTCTGTTCGTTCGTGACCGTAACGACCGCGGGCGCATCGGTTGCTATCTCATTACTTCTTGGGGTATTCGTGGTGTTGACGGTGTGGACTCCGGGTATGTCTGTGGACGAGCCATGGGCCATGGCGTGGGTGATTGGCTGTGTGATGGGCTGCTGGCCTGATTGATAGCCAGGGTACTGGATGCCCATGACCTCGTCGTAGCTTGGCGGCGCCATGGCTTCTGTAATTCAGAGAAAATATAACGTTAGTAAGCTGGATGAATAGGAAATAAGAAGGAAATACCTATTGTTAGAAATAAAGTTACAAAAAAGTAGAATCACTAAACAATTTTTAGACTGATTGTATTTTTTGTAAGTATTTGATTTCTGGTTTCAATTCACTTGATAATGCTACTTTAAAAACAACTTTTTTACTGTATACTGATTGACACTGAGACGACATTGTCTATGAGTCTGTCTCTGCAGTCTTGACAAAGACATCGTCATCATCATTTTCGCCTGACATGAGCTACTGATTATCTTTTCTTTTCAGCCAGAAGATGTCCACCGCAGGACGCAGGCGGTGCTTACTCTACCACGCCGGCTCAGTGCGGATTGATGGAGAGATGGATCTGAAGTAAGTGGCTAACCTTATACTAGATGTTACTGCCTTATGGATTGTGACTAGGATTAACGACTAACACCATCAGATATTAGGTAGGACCAACTTTTGACGTGCCTTACGGAAGCTTGCAGGATACGTTTGTGATCATAAATGCGGAATCAAATTAAGCGGAAAGTCCGTGGCATAGGTTTCTTAATTGTGATTGCCATCAGAGGCCAGCCATCACCGTAAACTCACGCAAGCATCCGTATCAGATAGTAGATAAAGTCTGGTCCGTGAGCACGTAGAATTTTGTCCAATGACCCAAAGCTACCCATCCTTATCGCTCGCGCGTAATTATGTTGCTGTCGCGCTCGTACACCCACTGCGGGCACCCGTCGCACAGTCGCGACAGCAATATTATTACGTGCGAGCGATAAGGATGGGTAGCTTTGGGTCATTGGACAAAATTCTACGTGCTCACGGACCGGGCTTTAGTTCCGAACTTCCGAATATAGCCATGGTTGGATATTAACCATCTTTGGTCGTCTATCTTGGCGCCATATAACGGGGGAGAGCCCAGAGCCAACACTTGAAATGAGGGTAAGAAGTATACTAACCATATTTGGGAGGTGGCGGCAGGTTGGCCGGGCTGACGTAGATGGTGGGCTCGCCCTGCATGGACAGCTGCCGCGCCCGGTTGCCTGCATACATTCGCCTCTGCTGCGTACTCCGCGTCTTTTGCCCTGGAAATAAGAGATGAATTGGTTAAGAAATGTGTTGAGAGTTCAAACCTCCTGAAAAAGGAGTTAGGGCAAGTTTTCTCCAGTAGTTTCCATCTCTTTAAAAAAAGACAGAAGTTCCTCTCTTTCTAAAAAGGAGGAAAAGACGCTAGTAAATTATTTGTGACTTTGATGCGAGATTTCAAGATTTCAAGTACATAATATAGTTGTTGCAATTCCCGAAGGCGAGTGGGTTTTACATGTGTGGTGGCTCGATACTGTTCGTTTTTCATAAGTTTTGATAGACATTACACTATCGTTGTGTGCATGTAGTACACGTACACACACAAGTAAAGCTCACCCGCCTTCGTGAGTTGCAAGAACTATAATGTTTCGGATGATGGTGTGATGTATTGTGTCATCAAATGATGAGCAATGCAACATCACACTGCGGCGTAACATCACTCGCGTGATATCACAAGCATCACTTACACGCTTCTATTCTGTCGGTTGTATTAGATATTAATGAAGTGGTAGACACTTTTTATTATTATGTAACTAATGAATAACATAATCCGTGTGTCAAATAAGGAAGGAATTTGAAAATAATAATATCCCAATACACTTAACGCTACCACTGATTTAAGCTGATACGAGTATTGCCAGACAGTATTGAAAGGGTAGCTCTTTGCCTTTACAGTTAGTATTACAATATGTTTTTATCTTTTTAACAAATCCATTCACTGAATTTTCGTTATCATGCCCGTAAAATGAATAAATTACCAGAAACTTCTTCCTAGTAATCATTATTTCTTTATACTAGTATCATTATAATAAATAACTGATACGAGTAAACCTACTTTACTTATCAAAGGTGGAAGTTTATGCTAGCCTGCCTAAGTAAAGTCATAGTTCTGGTATGTCTACCATATTTTATCCTAGATAATAATAATATAGGTAGTCTACTATCAAGATACAGTCGTTATCACTTCAGACTATATGTATGTATAATTTTGTCTTAAAATAGTACCTATTTACTATTTATTAGACGTCACAGAATAATCAGCTTGATGTGCTGTGACAACCGATAAAAATACGTCGTGTAACTAAATTGAAAGAATGATAAATAAGCAGGAAAGGTTTTGTTTGTTATTGGTATAATTTTACTGGTTTATGAGTATTATAAGTTTTACCAGTTCCAATAGCCATCTCATGACAAAAAAAATTGCTATGCCCTTTAGACAGGGTCCGTATAAACTGTCAAATACTTGTAACAACTGTTTATCTACACATAAATAATGGTGTGCCATAAAGTATTGAGAAGAAAAAACTAAAACAACCACGTGTTAGCTTACAGAATCTACATTTTAGGTATTTTGAGCTTCAACAAATAGATGACTCAAAATTTGAATTTTTTGTTCACAGAACATGCAATGTCATACCTACTTAACCCATTATAGACTAGCGGTCCCATATGGTACCACTTTTCTGTGTGCTTTAATTTGGCTCTATACATTAACACGTGAAAAGATGCAGTGCTCTGATTGATGCAAGTCGTAGCCAATAGATGTGGTCTATGCTTCTAGGAATAAAAATTGACAGTTGTTCTTTTCAGTTGTGTGTAATTGATGATCGAAGTGAGCGCATCAAAATTTTCTCTTAAAAATTGACGCACCATTCNTTTTGCTCGCGAGTGTATTTGATTTCTGGTTTCAATTCACTTGATAATGATACCTTAAAAACAACTTTTTTACTGTATACTGATTGACACTGAGACGACATTGTCTATGAGTCTGTCTCTGCAGTCTTGACAAAGACATCGTCATCATCATTTTAGCCTGACATCAGCTACTGATTATCTTTTTTTTTCAGCCAGAAGATGTCCACCGCAGGACGCAGGCGGTGCTTACTCTACCACGCCGGCTCAGTGCGGATTGATGGAGAGATGGATCTAAAGTAAGTGGCTAACCTTATACTAGATGTTACTGCCTTAAGGATTGTGAATAAACTTAACGACTAACACCATCAGATATTGGGTGGGACCAACTTTTAATGTTCCTTACGGAACCAAGCAGGAGACGTTTGTGATCATAAATGCGGAATAAAATTAGGCGGAAAGTCCGCGGTATAGGTTTAATTTTGATTGCCATCAGAGGCCAGCCGTCACTGTAAACTCACGCAAGCATCCGTATCAGATAGTAGATAGTTCCGAATATAGCCATGGTTGGATATTAACCATCTTTGGCCGTCTATCTTGGCTTCATATAACGGGGGAGAACGCAACACTTCAAATAAGGGTTAGAAGAACACTAACCATATTTGGGAGGAGGCGGCAGGTTGGCCGGGCTGACGTAGATGGTGGGCTCGCCCTGCATGGACAGCTGCCGCGCCCGGTTGCCTGCATACATTCGCCTCTGCTGCGTACTCCGCGTCTTTTGCCCTGGAAATAAGAGATGAATTGGTTAAGCAACGTTTTTTGACGTCAAACCTGCTGCAAAGGAAGTTAGGACAAGTTTTTTGGAGTAGTACCATCTCTTTCAGAAGAGACAGAAGATCCTTCTCTTTCTAAAAAGGTGGAAAAGACGCTAGTAAATTATTTGTGACATGTTCCGGCTTTGATGCGAGATTTCAAGGTATTTCAAGTGTAGCTGTTGCAATTCACAAAGGCGAGTGAGCTTTACATGTGAGGTGGCTCGCTACTGTTCTTTTTTCAAAAGTTTTGATATACACTATCGTTATGTGCATGTAGTACACGTACACACACAAGTAAAGCTCACTCGCCTTCGTGAGTTGCAAGAGTCTAGTGATAGATGTATTGTGTCATCAAATGATGAGCAATGCAACATCACACTGCGGCGTAACATCACTCGCGTGATATCACAAGCATCACTTACACGCTTCTATTCTGTCGGTGGTATTAGATATTAAAGAAGTGGTTCTTACTATTTGAACACTTTTTATTATTATGTAACTAATGAATAACATAATCCATGTGTCAACTAAGGAAGGAATTTGAACATAATAATATCCCAATACACTTAACCCTACCACTGATTTAAGACGATACGAGTATTGCCAGACAGTATTGAAAGGGTAGCTCTTTGCCTTTACAGTTAGTATTAGAATATTTTTTTTATCTTTTTAACAAATCCATTCACTGAATTTTCGTTATCATGCCCGTAAAATGAATGAATTACCAGAAACTTCTTCCTAGTAATCATTATTACTTTATGCTAGTATCATTATAATAAATAACTGATACGAGTATACCTACTTTACTTATCAAAGGTGGAAGTTTATGCTAGCCTGTCTAAGTAAAGTCATAGTTCTGGTATGTCCACCATATTTTATCCTAGATAATAATATTATAGGTAGTCTACTATCAAGATACAGTCGTTATGACGTCAGACTATATGTATGTACATAGTTTTGCCGTAAAATAGTACCTATTTACTACTTATTAGACGTCACAGAATCAGCTTGATGTGCTGTGACAACCGATAAAAATACGTCGTGTAACTAATTTGAAAGAATGATAAATAAGCAGGAAAGTTTTTGTTTGTTGTTGGTATTTTACTGGTTTACGAGTATTATAAGTTTTACCAAATCCGACAGCCATGTCATGACGGGAAGAATTACTATGCCCTTTAGACAGGGTCCATATAAACTGTCAAATACCCGTGCAACTGTTTAACTACACATAATATGGTATGCCATAAAGTATTTAGAAGAAAAAACTACAACAACCAAGTGTTAGCTTACAGAATCTACATTTTAGGTATTTTGAGCTTTGGCAAAAAGGTGACTCAGAATTTGAATTTTTTGTTCACAGAACATGCAATGTCATACCTACTTAAGTATTTAAATCGTCACCTAAAAATTTATGAACGATAAACAGTAATTATGTAGGCATAAAAACGAAAAACAATTCATTATCCATTCTAGAATTTCACTTATCGCAGGAAATTCTGTACATAATACGGATAAGTAAGCACTTATCCGATAAAAATCACATGACCAGTGTATAAAATGTATAAAAATATTACTGAGTGCGATGATCCGAAGACAGAAGAAAAGCAACAGCCAAGTGAAAAGCAGGATGATGAGCGCCATCATGTACCAGAACGCAACGTGCGTGAGGTCATTTGCCGTGCCATCGTCTTCGTATCTATTGGTTACATCCTCGTAATCATTTTCTTGGGAAAAATCAAAGTTGGGCTGGCCGTATATTGGAGGCATATTGGTCACATACATTTGATCCAACTCAAATATTTGCAATACCCTCTTTAGTGTGCTTAACACTCTTGACTGTTAACCAAAACAGTGGAGTGTTGATTTGATGGAGTTAATTTTATTTAACGACTTTTGTCACTTTTTTGTTGAAATCACTGCACTTTGTATGTAAATATTGTTATTTTTCATTTTTCTCTCACTGAGACACTCAATCGTTCATAACTGGATGAAACTGTCTCCCAGTTTGGCAAGAAATCCTTCAAATGTTATCATTTATCGATATCAACAATATCTCGAAACCACTTGAAGTCATCTTGCTGTATCGTATCAACAGTTTATCTGTTTCTATAAAAGTGGATAACAAAGAAAACAATTTTTTAATTTCATCCTTGTTTTCTAAGAAACAATAACTACTCTTGGATGCAGTTAATAAATTGACTTAATCTAAGATTCACTCACTCATTCAAGGCACAACATTCACTCATTGCTCTTAGGACGAGTGTGTGAATGTGAATCACTCATTCTTATTAATTTGACTTTTGATCATCAAAAATCTAATTACATTTTCCTCAAATTCGTCACTTCACTTGATACTTCGCTTGCACGACTGACATGAATCAAACTACTAATAACAATGCTTTCAAGGTCAATAAAATTATAACTAAGTGGATAGTGCTAATTCTTTGGTAGGAAGTAGATCATTGCGTGTAATTTTGTTTGTTTAGAGTCTTGTATTTACATAAACATCGATTCTGAGTTCCTTTGCTATCTACGAAATAAGCCCTAGTTCTTTATTTAATGAATTATAATCCCTATTGTTGTCACTCTTCCTTAATGCTAAAGGCTATAAATATCTGATAAAATATTTATTAGTTACCCCAACTGCTCATTTTTATGCACAAAATAATGAACGACATGACCAGTAGTGTCCCAAAGACAGATATGTATGCTATTACAGTAGCATTCACCACACTGTCCGTAGTATCTTCCTCTACCATTGGAGCCATTTTTCTGATTCTGTTTAGTTTTAAACAGACGAAAGTGTCCAATCCACCGATCACACTAACACTTGGGTGAACAAGCACTAGGTGATCACTCTAAAACACTTCACTTCACTTTTTCACTCCAATTAAACTTTGAGCACCATTTTCATATGCTTAGGTTGCGCAAAACAATTGTGCAATGAGAGATTTTTAAAGTTGTATCATGAATACTAAAAATAAATTATCATCTGCGTATATGCCTATGGTAAATTAAACCTTATTTAGATGTAATAAATAAGAAAATGTAAATTGTTGAGAAATAAAATCTCGATTGGCTTTATCTTGGTAATAGATCACTCTAGCGACAGCAAGTCGGATAAAATATGTGTTAGTACGTAAGTGATAAAGGTTATGATTAGAATTCCAGCAGGGGTACCTGCAGTGATGAGCATAATCTGTCATCTAGTCGCCCCATTATCTTCTTCTTAGGGCTGATTTTTCAATAGTTGGTTAACTTTTATCTGAAGAATAAGTTTGGCATATTAACAGTTTCAGTATGGGAAATATTTATTTATTTATTCATGAATAGAACGGTAGTACCAATTACACTATTCAAACAAGACGTAACAAAGTTCAGACTCAAATATGTTAAATCAAATTAATGTTATATCAAATATGTTAAAATGACAAGTTTATTCTTTATCTTTTAAGCCCTTAGTTCTGTTTATCTAAGATGTAACCGTATTCAGCCTTTGTGTAATGCGTGAGAATTAAAAAAGCGAGTTTCTGGTACAGAGCATAAAGATAAAGAAGTTGTAATTGCCTGAATAGGAAAAAAAAGAAACAAAAAACAACAAAAGAAAAAAAATCGTTGTTTAGAAAAAAAGGCGAAAAAGGTCACAAATTCAGCAAAGTGTAACACTGCACTCTATTATTGAATAATTAAAAATATGTCTTAGTTATCTGTCAATCAGCCAGACATCAGTATTGTTAATATTAATAAGATAAGAAACATAAATAAAACTATCGGAAATCCCCTTATTACGCGGTACTTCATTGCACTCACAATTTCTAAGTATGGTCTTATCATAACTACTTTTAGGTACCTCCTAATGGTACATATCCAAAGTCCTTAGGATAAGTGATTTCATAACACAACATGCTATCTATTAGGACCGTGACTTATTAACACAATCAATGCGGAAATGGACTTTTGATAATTAAATTATGTAAATTCAATCAAAGGAGAAAATATTCTTGGAAATTTCTATAATGCTTGATCAAGTGGTTTCCAATCTATGAAACAACCAATGCCAGTTGACGTCACGGTATACCCCCAGACTTCTGTGGGTATAACGTGACGTATCCAAGACGACTGCTGTCAAATCGTTTCATGACGTCACGATACACAAGTCACACCCACTGTCCGTCAGAGGTTAAACGTCTAATCAAGGATGCGTGGTTAGCTCATTAAAGTATAGTTGATGACGTAAAGAAGGAGGCGGCATCGCAAGTGAAATACACGGTCTTCTTATGTTATCATTACTATTTCTTAGCGATTAGAGTCGCTTCTCAAACTAAATTTTAAATAAACAAGTCTCATTTTCGTTTATTTGCTATAGGATTTGATTTTAACAGTTGGCTTTGAAAAAATAGTTATATTATGAAACAGTGTTTAACAGGTCAAAAAACATATTTTTCGAACACGTGTAATGCATTCTTATTTATCACTGGGCTTAAAAATTCATTACCTTCAAAAACAGTGTATTGTTTAGGTAGTGTTGTGTGGATAGGTATGGATACCTATTATTGGAGGAGGCCTTTGTCCAGCAGTGGACGTCATTTGGCTGAAACGAACGAACGAACCTAGGTACTATTGATAATAATTTAAGGAAAACCTTTTATTGGGCATATTGTGTGTTAAATTAATGTATGTTAAAATTGTATAAATACGCTGTTGGTTTTCCCATTAAAATTAAAATAACAACATAATATTAATTAAGTTAATGACGTCAAATCTTACGATATTTTAAATTAAGTCGATAAATGGAATCTATTTATAAAAATCGTACGACTTGCCAAATTGCAATAAGAGACTGGTTTATTAATTTGCAATTTATTAACTATAAATTAATGTATGAGGCAAATGACTAATGATCAAATGGTTTAAGAATTCTAAGACGTCTGAAAAGTGTTTTTCCTGTCGGTCTGAAGAGTACGAATG